TCTCGCGTGGTTGTGACGGGATCAGCGTCACCAATTCCACCGAGACATCATGTGAATTTAGCCGGATCAGGACTCAAATTTCACTGACCACAGTTCTCGATCACACGGGCTGGGAATCGCGCTCGCTCCACCCCTGCCGCTTTACTGCCCATAGGGATTACCGCTCACCCGAGAGTACAGCGTACGATGTGTAGACTCGGTTTGGTGGCGTAACTGCGTGCCGCGTGACCTTGTCTCGGCGCAACAACTTAAATTTTGTCAGCGGAGAGGTTGCCACTGCACAGAGTCGATACTCACGGCAGGACTTTCCTGACGTCCGTCGTATACGGGGTGAAGTGATCACGCTCCCGCTGGCCTACGACATAGCGGTCACGGGGTGAGTGCCCGATCCCCGTCCGGTGCCCGTTGCTTCAGGTCTTCGTCTAGCGTGAACACAGTTGTTAGAATTGTATTCCACCGAGCAGGCTCCAGCCCACTCCCGGGGGTGCTTGTTCAGTGCAACAGGGTAGCTAATCCTGCGGCCACTGGCCGTACTATCTTGTCTCCTCTGCTGCTATTGTAGGAGTCTTCAGTCCTCGCTGTTCTGCTGATCTGGCGATGACGAAGGTCTTGTTCTGCCGAGGCCTCGTTGAGTCTTCAGACACCAGTTTGCGTGCCATTCATGTAGAAATGTGTCATGTCGAGGTGCCCTTTACCCAAGGGTCGTGTCTGCAGGCGGTTAAGCCTGTGTGTAGTCGTCGAGACTGAAGTTGGTACCATTGTTGCTTCAATGGGTTTCATTTTTGCCTGCCGATGGCACCGGAGCCTAGCTCAGTTGAGAGATAATTGGGAGTGAACCCGGTGGGGCTCGCAGCACCTCGTGATCTCGCTACAATTACAATCCTCTGCTCAACCATCAATACATGCGTAAGCTCCTCGCTAGAACTCGTCACACATGGTACGTTTTACCAAACGTCACTTATCACACCGCATCCACGTATGGGTCGCCCGACTGCACTGCCCCCCGAGCGGTCGACGCCATCGCAGCAATTGCAGTCAGAGGAGCGTCCCCCCCGGCGGGAACAGTGTTCGTCGCATTCGCCGGAGCAACGGACAGTCGCCCAGCCTCGGGACACGTCTCCAACTACAGCGCTGGCCTCGCCGGAACACACGCCTTCTTCGGCCACCGCGGAAACGGCAGCAGCGCCTACTGAACCACTGGTGTGTGGCATCTGTTTAGGAGATGTCAGCGAACCGTCTGTGAACCTCGTTAGCTGCGGTCATGCGATGTGTGTGGGCTGCTATGCGAGGGCATGCGTGCGGGAAGTGGGCGATACCCTCCACTGCCCCATGTGCCGTATAGGGTCCACCATCTCAGAGACGAGTACCAGCTTGGAACAGCAGCACGGGAACGACGTAGTTTCTGATGCTTTTCGAGCAGCGAGATCGGAGAGGGACGTGGCTCGCTCGACCGCACGGGAGGCGAGTCAAACGCACGCGCCTCGCCATCTCTGCGGAGTTTGTCACGAATCAATAGGTCAAGGGGCTGCCATGTCTCCGCCCTGTGGATGTCACTACCACACTCGATGCGCGGTGGGACTCGTAGAAGATCAACTGCACGACGCCCTGGCGAGCGGACACGACATTATTTCGTGCCCGCACCAGCGTACAAGACAGGATCACGGCTTCCAAGCAACGGTCGTTCTACCGGAGCACGCCCGATTCAACTTTTACGAAAACGAAACGGATCAGCGGGCGTTAGACGTGCGGATCGAAACAATCAGGGGCCAGCTGCGAGACTCCAAGCCGCGCATGCCGGTTCGCGTCGGCACGAGGAGACAACCCACAGAATCGCCGGCCCCGTCCACATACGTCTACACACTTTCTCCTCCTCCTTCGCCCGGCCCGTCACCACCTGCTCCGACTACAACGCCTTCTCCGCGAGGGGCGACGGACGGGGTCTGCGTCGTATGCCATCAGAACGGGGCTTGGCAACGCCCGCTTGTCACCGCGCCGTGCTCATGCAGGGTACATCTTACGTGCGCGATGACCTTCGTGGAGAACCACCTGCTCTCTACCGCGCCGTCGGACAGCTCTAGGATGGTGGCGTGCCCGAATCCAGCCATGCACGATTCGAGGCGCGACGTCTTTTGGCCCCGCCTCCTAGAGATAGTAGCCATCACGATCCCGGCATGGAGTCTCGCTGATAGAGAGCGGGAAACCTTGCAGAAGAGGGTTGTAGCAGCTCGTGAGAGATTGCGCGAGCTTGATCGAGCAGGTGAAACGCGACGTTCCGTCCCCGACACACGGCCCCAACTCACCGGCGCGAACGGAGGCGGTAGCGCCGGATCGTGTTCGTACTGTGGACGCCACTTTGGGTCACCACCACAGGCCGAGGGACTCGAGCCTATCCAGATCCCGTGTGGACACCACGGGTCGGTGCACGCCAACTGCCTGTGGGACAGAGCCGACCAGATAGCACACGGACGCGTGGATCCACGACCATGTGCCAACTGCTCGCAGGAAGGATCGAACGGACGACGACCTCCTCATCCCGCGGAACTTGTCCAGAACCACGAACTGCCGCACGCCGGGGGACGGTGGGACTTCCTGAGGGAGGCAGTGTCTTTCGCATCCGAGATAGAGGGACATTTCGAGACATGGTCTATGTCCGAATCCGGCGCGGACCCGGCGGGGCATTTCGACTCCTTCGAGAGTGTGGTGCGGGCCCACGGGAGAAGTGAGACGGCCTTCTGGCTCCTGGTCACGCTGTTCTGCGACGTATTCGGGATGGACAGAAGCGTAGTCACCGCGCCGTGCTCATGCAGGGTACATCTTACGTGCGCGATGACCTTCGTGGAGAACCACCTGCTCTCTACCGCGCCGTCGGACAGCTCTAGGATGGTGGCGTGCCCAAATTCAGCCATGCACGATTCGAGGCGCGACGTCTTTCGGCCCCGCCTCCTAGAGATAGTAGCCATCACGATCCCGGCATGGAGTCTCGCTGATGGGGAGCGGGAAACCTTGCAGGATAGGGTTGTAGCAGCTCGTGAGAGATTGCGCGAGCTTGATCGAGCAGGTGAAACGCGACGTTCCGTCCCCGACACACGGCCCCAACTCACCGGCGCGAACGGAGGCGGTAGCACCGGATCGTGTTCGTACTGTGAAGGCCACTTTGGGCCACCACCACACGCCGAGGGACTCGAGCCTATCCAGATCCCGTGTGGACACCACGGGTCTGTGAACGCCAAATGCCTGTGGGACAGAGCCGACCAGATAGCACACGGACGCGTGGATCCACGACCATGTGCCAACTGCTCGCAGGAAGGATCGAACGGACGACGACCTCCTCATCCCGCGGAACTTGTCCAGAACCACGAACTGCCGCACGCCGGGGGACGGTGGGACTTCCTGANGATCCCGTGTGGACACCACGGGTCGGTGCACGCCAACTGCCTGTGGGACAGAGCCGACCAGATAGCACACGGACGCGTGGATCCACGACTATGTGCCAACTGCTCGCAGGAAGGATCGAACGGACGACGACCTCCTCATCCCGGTAGCGGATTACCGGATGACGCTACTACATCGGGTGAACGTGAACGAACTTTCTCGGAACCAGCTCAAGGCGGAAACAGGCGACGCCGGCAGGGAAGTGAACCGGATCCAGACGGTGGGTCGCGAGAAAGAGGAACGCCATCACATCCGGCACGCGGAGAAACACACCGGGGAAGGGGCTCGGGGGGAACGGGTACTCCGGGTGCCGATGACCGAGCGACCAGGAACGGGGACGCTGGAGGAAGCATGGAACCTGGCGCCACGGGGAACAGAAGCGAGCACCCTCGTTCCAGTACCAGATGCGGAGTGTGCTCGGGTGAGGTCATCGAGGGACACCGTGTGGTGCAACCCACTTGCGGGCATCCCATCCACGCAAGATGCGTACTAACTAGCTTGGAGGGACGCGGAGAACGCGCGCTGCTTGAGTGTAGGGTGCACGGGTGCGGGGACCAACACTCTCGGAGGGACAGCCTGGAGGCGGCGGTTCAAGCTGACCCGGGGCTGCAGCTACGAGCTGAAAGACTGATAAGGGGGTTAAACGACGAACCCCACGGAGCACGTTCGCTGTACATCTGGAACCAAGACAGTCCGGGAATAGGACCTGCTTTGGACGATGTCAGCATGGATGATCTCACACTCAAGTTCCAAACGGTGAAGAAGTTCAACCTAGGTTTGCTTCCGACCATGCCTGTCTCGAAACCCACGTGCTCCACCTGGTTAACAAGCAGCTAGCACAAGGCGGCGGCGCTTCCTCGGCGACCGGGACCCCACTTTCCACTATCCGGGTCATCAAACTTTGGTACCTCCTACCAGGTATTCTGCACTCCTTTGATGGTCGGATAGCTAAAAAAAAACGCTACAAATCGCTCAAAAGAGGGGATATATTGTCCGTTCTTCCTTGGCTGATTGAGTATACCAAGGCGGCGAGTGCAAGGAGCAGGGGACCGGCACGGGAAGACACACCCGACGACAAGTTCAAAAGGGCGGCGAGGGCGTGCCGGCACTCTGGAGGCGTGAAGGACGCAGCAAGAGCGCTCCTAGCCGATCAACCGTCACCGGGGAACGACGAGACATGGGCACGTCTGAAAGCCAAATTTCCGCATATGGATCCCGTACAAGTGGAGCAAGCCATCGCCGAAGCCATAGCTGCAAGCCGCACCGAGGAGGAGGAAGGAACCGCCCCAAGATGGAGGCCAGAAACCTAGTTCGATCCACAAGTACTCCTTCAAGTCATCAATAGCAGAAGCTCTAACTCTGGAGCAGGAAATGACGGGCAACGTTTCTCCCACCTTAAGTCCATCGTCAACACTAAAATTGGTCGGGAAGAGTTCAGCAACGCGATGTCGTCCCTGTGGAGAAGGCTCATCAACGATCCCAACACCGTCCCACCGGAGTTCTGGACTCTTTGGAAACAATCCAGTCTAATCGCCCTCGGTAAAAAGTACCGTCCAGTGTGCATTGGAATGACTTGGAGAAGGCTGATTGCAGCGGGAACGGTCAGGGAGCGGAAACCGAAACTGGAAGAAATATTTCGGGGAGCGGACCAATTCGGAGTGGCGGTAGCTGGAGGAGTTGAACAAGTTGCGANAAGGCTCATCAACGATCCCAACACCGTCCCACCGGAGTTCTGGACTCTTTGGAAACAATCCAGTCTAATCGCCCTCGGTGAAAAGTGCCGTCCAGTGTGCATTGGAATGACTTGGAGAAGGCTGATTGCAGCGGGAACGGTCAGGGAGTGGAAACCGAAACTGGAAGAAATATTTCGGGAAGCGGACCAATTCGGAGTGGCGGTAGCTGGAGGAGTTGAACAAGTTGCGATGGACGCACAACTGGTTCATCAGACAGGTCATTGGGTAGTCCAGACGGATTGCTCAGATGCCTTCAACACGGGCAAGCGCACCGTCATAATGGCCCAGGCCGCAAAGAGCGTCCCAGATGTCTTGGGGTACATCGCCAGGTGTTACGACGAAATCCCGGCAAAGGCGATATACACGATGGACTCCGGAGAGCGTCGGACGATCGAGTGCAAGAGCGGTGTGCAGCAAGGAGATGGAATGGGACCGCCCCTGTTCTGCTTCATCCTAGTCCCGATCGTCTTGAAGCTTAGAGCCATGTACGACCACCTCGGGGTATGCTTGAAAGCTTACATGGACGACATCAGCCTGCACTTCAACAATATCACAGCGGAAAATATTCAGCTGATACCGGACCTCGTCGACGAACTAGAAGCAGTGGGCATCATCGTCAACAGGGGGAAGAGCTCAGCGCTTCCCCCACCAGGGCACGACGTGACGCCAGCAGAAAGGAGGCTACTTGGCGATGCAGGCCTACCGATTGCGGAGGAGGGCATCACAGTTGTGGGAGTCCCCATTGGGACGGATGCCTACGTCGAGGATAAGCTGCAAGCCGCACCGAGGAGGAGGAAGGAAGCGCCCCGAGATGGAGGCCAGAAACCGAGTTCGATCCACAAGTACTCCTTCAAGTCATCAACAGCAGAAGCTCTAACTCTGGAGCAGGAAATGACGGGCAACGTTTCTCCCACCTTATGTCCATCGTCAACACTAAAATTGGTCGGGAAGAGTTCAGCAACGACATGTCGTCCCTTTGGAGGAGGCTCATCAACGATCCCAACGCGTTCCCACCGGAGTTCTGGACTCTTTGGAAACAATCCAGTCTAATCGCCCTCGGTGAAAAGTGCCGTCCAGTGTGCATTGGAATGACTTGGAGAAGGCTGATTGCAGCGGGAACGGTCAGGGAGTGGAAACCGAAACTGGAAGAAATATTTCGGGAAGCGGACCAATTCGGAGTGGCGGTAGCTGGAGGAGTTGAACAAGTTGCGATGGACGCACAACTGGTTCATCAGACAGGTCATTGGGTAGTCCAGACGGATTGCTCAAATGCCTTCAACACGGGCAAGCGCACCGCCATAATGGCCCAGGCCGCAAAGAGCGTCCCAGATCTCGTGGGGTACATCGCCAGGTGTCGTCGACGAACTATAAGCAGTGGGCATCGTCGTCAACAGGGGGAAGAGCTCAGCGCTTCCCCCACCAGGGCACGACGTGACGCCAGCAGAAAGGAGGCTACTTGGCGATGCAGGCCTACCGATTGCGGAGGAGGGCATCACAGTTGTGGGAGTCCCCATTGGGACGGATGCCTACGTCGAGGATATCGCAATGAAAGTGATAACTGAAGGGGGTGCAGACAAGCTTGCTCGCATGCTGGTGCGCATGCCAGACAAACAGGTGGCTCACCTCGTCACATCACANTTGCCTACGTCGAGGATATCGCAATGAATTAACTGAAGGGGGTGCAGACAAGCTTGCTCGCATGCTGGTGCGCATGCCAGACAAACAGGTGGCTCACCTCGTCACATCACAATCGCTGACACAGCGATCCGGATATATCGAGAGAGGCATCAATCATAAGCTAGTGAAAGGGGCTTGTAAACGCCTGGACAATATGGTGATGTGGGTCCTAGAGGCAACGATGGGGCTCAGAGACACCGAAGTCGAAGAAGAGTTCTTCCAAGACGACTGCCAGCCTGACCGCTTCAAGTTAAAGCCCTATGGAGCACTGCGGCAAGAGGGAACGGCGACGATACGCCTGCATCTCGTAAGGCTGTGCTAAATGCAAAAAACAAACAAACGGCAGCACCCCGCAGACACGAGAAGACCCACAAACAGACATTGTTGACTTCCAGCATGTGGCGACTAACCGAGAATGCAACTCGGGAGGTGATGGGACAACAGCAAGGGAGGGTGTCTCGCTCCACAACAGACAAAACACCGGCAGGGTGTCGCGACAAGCCCTCTAAACCACCAGGAAAGCACGGGACTTGAGCAGAAGTGAATGGTCAAAACAATACGACATGCACACACATTTATGCAGTTGCAGCGCCTTTGGGAAACGTGTCCAGATGACTGCTTCGAGAACAACAATGCCAGCGACGTACAAACGGGCGGTTGACACAGGAACGGGGGGGCTGTCCTCCGATCAACATACGTCGGAAACACCCCCAAAAACAACGAAAATATGTTATGGGCGGTGCGAGTAGTGGCTGGGGGGATAGGTCTGGTGTGCAATGCGATTGACACAGCATGCGCGCAGCCAGGCAAGTGTGCTGATGGCAGTTTGCGAGTGTCTGCCACCGAATGACCACTGCGTGGACCGCAGTGTACAACAAGAGGCGTCACATGTGCATAGATAAAGCTGTTGTTCTTCCGCTCGTCAGCCTAGGCCATGAGAACTGGCGTTGTTGCCAAATACAGAGCAAGGTCTGTCAATACGAGCACGGCTCAAGAAAGGCAAGACTGCATACCATGTGCCGTGCCATGCCCAACCAAACCCGCGGACTTGTGGAGGTTGAATCGCAAGCACAAGGGATAACTGCGCACCGCTACAACTCGGGCTCCCAATTGGTTGTGGCACACGTCGAAATAAGATAGAACAGGTCGCTGTCACAAGCCGAACTTCCGTCGTTCGGCTCCAACTGGCCGCTAGCTGCCGCGATGGGCGGGGGGCGCTGGTGGCTGTGGAAAGCTTTGGCGGTAGCCCAGACATCCATGTCTCATTACAGTGTGATTTCCGCTTGAGCAAGCGGCTGGTGCAGGCTCCCTGTCATCAGAATCTAAACTGGCCCAAAGTCTTGATTCACGGGGTAAAAGATCGTGCTTTGAACCTCGTGATGCCACAACCCCCCCCCCCACATGACAATCGCTCAGTGAAGGCGGGCGGCAGACGACCCCGGCAGCGTCCCTATCGCGCACGGCGTCCAAGCCTCGACCAGTTCCCACGCACGGCCAGTATCTCCATTTACTTCACTGGGCCGTCCAACCTCCCTGAACCCCGATTCCCGCACCGCACCAGCGGCTATGCTCGATGGTACACTGGTATATCCCCCGGGGGCCGCAAGCGAGGAAGACGCATCTCCGCCAAGCAAGCGTTCCAAGTCATCCAGGCCCATCATCGCCAGCAGTGGCGCTGTTTCCGAAGCAGGGCCCTTTGCAGCATCACCCCGCTCAGCCCCGCCGCTGCTACAATGATTCAGCACCTCACCAGGGGGCCCAGCGGTTTGGTTACACTCTTCTGTTGGTGGGACGCAAAGGGGTACCTCTTGATTTGCAGAGATGGCGACTTGGGTCGCAACCACAGGACCGCTGGGCGCACCAGCAGCAGCGTTATCGCATTCGCCCTTCCGATGCGCGTCAAGGCCAAAGGTAGCGGCAGAGGCTGAGGGAGAGGCAGCATTTTCGCCTGGAAGTGCCGCCGCCAACGCGTGGCAGACCGCGTCGAGTCCCGCTCTCGCCCAGTGCGCACTGTACCCGATGTTCTTGCCTTCGTCGTCGGCAATACCATCGGCCGTAGACGGGGACGGGGGAGCCGGGCAGGTGCTTCGTTCACTCTTTCCGACGAGAGAGCCATCGCCTGGAGTTCTTGGATTCGCGGCCGAAGGTTGCCGTGCTGCCGGTAGCGCGGAGAGCGCACGGCGGCAGCGATCTAATAGCTCGTGCACAGGAAAGTAGGCGGCGTGGAGCACCGACACAGGGGCTGTAACGGAAAGATGGTAATCAACGACGAACGTTCAGGGGAGACATTAACGGACGATCGGCAGCAGAAAATACATTTCGGGCGGAGCACCTCAGAACGATGTTCGCACGAAACCGTGGATTTCCGCGTCATCCTATGCGAAAAATGCTCAACTCGTTGATGCAATTGCGGCCCACTATAACAACGTGATCCTTGGCGAGAGTTGCTCCCAATGCATGGGCACAAACGAAAGTCCGCGGATGCAACCCGCCGAGGGAAGTAATGGATGGCACAAAACTGTTCTAGTTTCCTATTTCCACTGCGGGTCACCAGTCTGTTCGAACGACACACGTGCAACCGAACCCTAGCACAAAACAATGAGCGCACATGTATCACTTTTCGAGCTGTGACCCCAACGAAGAGTTTAAAGATCTCGGTGCACCTGCCAAGAGGTAGAAATAACCCAACAAACCTCGATATCATCAGGGTGGACTTGAACGGCGTGAACACTCGCCTGGCTTATCCGCCCAGGTGCTCTCATTTTCCTCCCACAAAGCCTCCTTTGCTTGGAAGAACGTGGGCGATAACCCGGCACGTACAGCCTCCTCCCGAAGAGCTTCTCGTACCCTTGCCTGAGAGCGAAGGATAGGAAGGGGGGAACGCAGAGTGGAAGACAGCGGGGTGAACATCAATCGATGGGATTATCATACAGTAGGGCTGAGGCCGGCGGGGTCCCTCAGAAGGCGACTGGCGTTCGCCACACACTCGACTGCTGCAACACCCAGCACAACCGTCAAGCTTGCTGTATCCACGCGGTTCAACACGGCAGCTGCCCAATCCAGTTATCCAGCGGCAGCTCCAGATGAGGTTTCCTCTACAAAACGCGAACACCATGTTCCTTGAGACGACAGCATTTCGTCACGAGGCGATGGGAGCACTCGGGGCGTTCCTCAACAAGCACTTCATTCCGAATGGTTCATTTTACACCACGAAGGAATCTGCTGCCCCCAGTGTCCTGAGGGAACACCGAGGTGTGCGCCGAAAAGTCTTACACTCCACGCAATCAGAGGACAGCAGTCTCGGCAACATCCAAAACAACGTCTGTTGTGGATATCACCGGCTAGGGTCGCAAGCACCCTGCGCGGGGAACCCAATAATCGCATGGTGATCTCTGTATGCTTGCACGTAAAACAACGGGACTCGAGCCTCGCATGCTCACATCGCTGGTGCGTAGGTGCCACCGGCGACTCAGGAGATGATTCACCCATATCTCGATGAAGGCGGCCTGCCTCTCTAGGCCTCCTCCTCCTCCTGCTCCTCCTCCTCCGTCACCACCACTGCCGTTGCCACCGCCACACGCGCTTCTGCCATTCTCGTCGGCGTTTACGGCTGCTCCGGGCGTTGATGATGCGTTGTCGAGGAGTGCCTCAACCAGACGGACCAGAAGTGCGGCCCCAAACCCCCGCCATCTGGAGTGAAACATGTCCAGCAGGGTTGCCCACCTGCGAAGTCGAGGAGGAGAACCGCAGGGCTGAGGCGGGGGGCTCGAAGAGAGAAGCAATATATTGCGGAAGGCCGCCAATCGCTTCACTCAAGCGTAACTGAGAATGGATGCGTGAACTTGACATCGTCCGCAGCTGTGAAGACTGCTTTGTCCAACAGCCTCTGCCCACGCGAAGAGATACTTTACAGCTGTGCCGAAATGCCGTTTCGCGACCATGGCTGCTTTGTCAGCGCCTTACTCAATGAAAGTAACTTCAAACGAATCTGCACGAACGTGGGACTAAAACACACCACACAGCAAGCGAACGTAGGCTCGAACACCCCCGTCCCCCCCCGGAGCGTGTGAATAAATCCAGGTTCATACCGCCGGGCATAGATTCTTGCCCGTCGCTGAACCATGGGCTGCAAGGGTGCGGACCACTCGAATGTACATCAGAAAGTAGACACGTGCCACCAGGTGCGCTGCCAAATTCATCCTCCGAACGCTGAGTTCACACGAACCCTCTACGACCCGACAAAGCTGAATCTGCACCACTTTCACAACGTACTGCACCTCGCGGTAAGTCGGCGGCTGACTTGTCGGCTGTCCACTCCCGGGGTGCCCTGAATAGCCAAGGGAGTACATACGCAGCGATGCGAAAGCAGTTCAGAGGGTAAGGATATAACAGTGGAGCGGGAACAACTACCGCGGAGAACCAGAGGTAGAGTAAATATCAAAGACGACGGCCGGGTCTGGCGGTGCACTGCTTCTGTATCATGCGACGAAGCAAGATAGCGGGAGACATGGGTACGAAGAATTTCGAGCAAAAAAAAGTGAAGTATCGGTTCCCCGCTAAAAAAGCTTGAACACGATGAGGGGAAACTCTTGAAACGGACAGGAGCACGCGTACTTGCCCGCAACGACGACGAGAAAGGAAGGCACCCTTGGTTTCGTTGTTATCTACTAGAACATTCGCAATACCAGGTTGAGCACCACCGAATGGCATCGTGACATCACAACCAAGCTCGCCCGCTTCACAATCCGTGTTCGAAACCTCTCCTCGAGGTCGAGCTCTATACCACCCACCCCCCAACCCTCTCACCGGAGTCGGGTACTTGTCCCTTGAGCGAGGAAGGAGGTGCCCTTGCCCCCTCCCCTTGGTCCCACCAACTCCACCGACGAAATATTCGCCCCTTACCCTACCCCCGCCGTCCGCGAGCAGGGATACCACCGCCCAAGACAGAGCGGTCGGAGTCGCGGACAAGACAATCTCGTGCGCCGCAACCTCCATGGCCGCGGCACCGAATTTCGATGCCGCTGATGAGCCCGTTCCACGCGGGGTGCCGGGAGGCTTCGAGCTGGAATCCCCATCTCTTGTGTTCGACGAAGACCCGCCGCCGGATGCGGCGGAAGATGTCCGCGGTTTTTTGCTGCTTGGTCGACCGGCGTGGCCGGGGGAGGAACTGCGCGGCATCAAGGCGTCGCTATCGCTGGTGGCCTTGTATCTGGGTAGGGCGGGAAAGGCCGGTCAGATTTTGAGATTGATCTGAAGCCAGGAAGGCGCTTCCCGTGCATAATAGGTCCTCGTGCCTGGAATTGAGTAGAGGCTTTGGTCTCATAGACATGTATACTTCAGTTACCCTAAGTACCGCTGAGGTCATTCTTCACGTACAGGGCGCGAAGTGTCAACACGATTCGCAGTCAATCCCGGTCTCTTTAGACTAAATTTCGCCGCCATCCGCGATCGGTGCGGGTACCCGTTTCTACACCGCAAGCGCAGGACACGCATACCGTGAGCGCAAATAACACAAAGCTTATGCATACTCCCGGATGAAAGACCACGCATCGGTCATGAACGCAAAACACCCACCTCGCAAGGATAACATCCTTTAAAGTATGCAGTCCGTGGTGGAAACGATGAAGCTTGCGACTTTGAACGACCAAACCAGGCAATTCCCTTGCGTACAGCACAGCCACGCCCTGGGCAAACCTTGAAGAGCTCAAACCAAGCACACTCCATCTGAACGAAAGCTGTCAACTACAACAGCAGTAACAGGGTGTGTTACCATCCCTCTGCACGTCGATCTCTGCGCTACAAAATATACAAAATTGGCACACCAGCCAGGGTACTAAAGGAGCAAGCCCACACAGGATTCTCTTGTTGTACTGGTGGGCCAGAGAATGAAGGCCTAGTGGCCAAGGTTGTGCCAGGAAGGTGCGTGCAGCAACGCTGTTCCGGTGTACGGCGGTGCACACCTCGGATAGTACCCATACCCCATACACCTCTCCACAACTGCACCCGATGCACTCGGTATCGAATAGGACACCAAATAATATTTTGCTCACCTGCAAATGAGCTGGTCGAAAGCACCCCAAACAAATCCGAGGTGCTCAGCCTGCGGGCTCCAGTGACGCCTCCATAGGTAGTCCACGAGGAAGTCCGCCGCGAGCCGAAGGGTGACAATGCCGGGCAACTGGCAGGATCACGAAATTTCGCGATGACGAGCGACAGAAAAGTGAACCTGTAAGGTTCCGTTTACAGTGTTCTTATACGTGTGTGTGTCCAACCTATGTTGTAATCGCATGTTCTATTTCTTGGTTACGGGAAAAAGATGTATGCAAGGATGGGAGTGCTCAGGTGAAGGTGGTGGCGGTGTTGATTCCACGGGTCAGCATATATGTGGAAAATGCTGCGACCCACTATTTGCTCCTGCGTGCTTGTTCTTCCAGCAACCACAACAAAAAACATCTCGTAAGGCTCAAGATTGGGGTGTCGCACGCCAACAGAGATGAGGGGGGTGATACTGGAGAGCCGTTCACGGGGGTCAGCGATGTGCTGGAGTCACAATCGTGCTCTTCGTGCGTCACTACAGTACCTCCTGGGCTCGAAGGCGTAAAGGCGCGCCTCACGGAAGTTGTAACTCCAGCGACGCCAATGACAGGCATTGGCAAGCCGAAACTTGGTAAGCATGTTTCTGCCTCGCGCTCAGACCAGGTCCAGGGTTATTACATGTGGTGAACGACAACACAGCGAGACTCTGCAACGTTCCGCAAAGGATTGCCGATCTATCCAAGAAAACGCAGCGGCTCTGAATCGAACCGCAACCTGAGACCAACACGCTGCGCGCTACAAAAACGCAGCGTCTGGCAGATGCCGGACGGCCATCATTCCACCTGCTTGTGGGCAGCCTCGTGTCGTATGTCGACTATCCACGTCGGCAGTCCGATCTCTCGTGCCAGGGAAGACACGGGCGCGGCGTGTGCGGCCTGGTTAATGGGGAAAAAAGAGCGGCAGAGGATTTTGCTCTCGTTGGCGAAAGGATCGGCCGGTCTTGAGAGTGCGGTCCGACAATGCGCGACGGTGTCGGGCCCACGATTATAAAGTGAAGCTTGCACACGCATACGTGTGGGGGGACTAGCCTCGCACAGCATCGCAGGTTCTGGTTGAGTACGCGTTCGAAACCTCTCGACGAGAACAGCAATTCTACAGCTGAGAAGACGCGGCCAGCGAAATAACCAACACATTGGTCACTTCTCCGGGGACAAGAAGCAGGAGACGGACGCCGTCAACCCAGCTTTCCCGGAATTTTTAAGAAAGTCCGAGCCGCATGTGTTCCCAACTTCAGCTTTTAGCGACGGACACAGTGGGGTCCGCTAAGACCCGCCAAATTTTTTACACCGCTGGACACATAAAGTCGACGATTTCTTCCCCCCAAGACGCTACAGGTTCCCGTCACAAAGCGTTGCTGCTACAACCACAAAAAATATTGGCGATTGCCTCCCACCAGAGGTCGCAGGAGCCCAAACGAGCACCTCCCTGTTGCCACTACTGTACAGGCCAAAATGTATCAGTTCACCCGTATCTCGGCTGCTCCACACACCTTTTGCTCGTGCCCGGTAAGGCCGTTCACCGCTCTGACGACCACGGCGCTGTAGATGAGCCGCAGCTCCTCCTCGCTCCTTTGACCGCCGTGAAAGGTCAGCCCACCTCTCCCCGCCGCACCTGCGTCGTTGAGCCGAACCTCAACGAGCTTTGGCCGCCGGTACGAAGAAGCGGACAGCAGCGCACGTAGTGCAACGTGGTGGTGGTGGTATTCGTCTTGGTGGTTTCGTTGTTGTTGCTGTCGCTGTTGGTGCTATCGTTGTTGTTTCTGTCCCGATACGTGCTCCTATCGGGGTGAGAACAACAACTAGGGCCACCAGACAACTCTTGACCCGAGGGGAGGCCGTCATGGGGCCTACTCACAGACTCATGGCAGTTTATTAGGAGGGGGGTCATCAGTTGTTGTCTCAAACTCATGTGGCCATCCCTGTGCTTAACCCAAGATACGTTGTCCCAAAATAGTGTGGCCATCCCTGTGCTTCAAACCTTAGACAGTAACAATTGAGCATTTTTTGAACAATTGGGTTGAACGTAAGGTCACGGAACACAGCCGACGCTGCTGTGTCTGCTAGGTTGATGGATGGATGGGTTGAGAGCTGAAAAGCGCGTGCTCCTAGCAACTATCGGTGACGCTTCAAGACAGCAAGTCCGATAGATTCGCGGTCGGAGGAATCAAGCCGCTTTTCATAACGCAATGAGGACCAGTCCGGGCACCGATTTTTCTTGTCTTCACGGCTCGGTGTGATGCTTGTTTCGTGTTGTTGGATAGTTCTAGGGTTGAAAGGAGTCCTCGTTATCGTGTGTGTTCTCGTACTCATGGGCTGGTGGTGGGTTGACCGATGGCCAAATGATGAGAGGAAAGTTGGCTGTTCGCTGCCTAGCTCCATACGCAAGAAAATACATCCGCCCACAGCTTGAGCAAAACGATCCTTGCTGCCAAAAGAGGGGGAAAAAAGTTGCTGTGATGCCGGTCATGTGACAGGCACTGCTACTGTAATACTCTGCTACTACTACTACTTTTTCTATCTCACCATGGAAGAATTGCAGGAACGGGTCATTTTTTCTTCGTACGTGGGCTTGCGTCTGGAATATCACCACGGTCTGGATGTGGGGCCATGAGCTGGTACGAAAACGGCGACAGACATCTACAACAAGGGCGATGCAAGTTCTTCCGCCAATAACTACCACTCGTCACGTTTTTCTCGAAAAAAAACACTCACGCATGCTTCTGAGGGTGCCTTCGTCCACAATAGGGATGACGTTAATTACAGTTTCCGCATTCATTCTAGTCAAACGGGCCCTTGGCGAATACGGTGGAGACCATCATCGCCTACCGAACCGCAGCTGACGTCACGATGGCAAGGAAGGAGTTCATGAGTGTGCACCACAACAAACGAAAATCATCAATCAATGTAGCAGTCACCAACCATCGTTGTTTTTCTGCGATGTCATGCACAGTCGTTTCGTCTCACAGTACCTGGGACGTGGTCTCCACAGCATGTGGTATTCTCTCTCGGCTCTGCCAGACGGCCACGTGTTGCACACCTTGGGACCGTAGGTAAGGCTCGGGAGAAAACAGCAGGGCCTGCCGATGGTAAGACGTCGTGGGTGCGACCAACGTGCGCGAGGAACGAACGGGTTTGCGCACGCACAAGTGTTTGGCACCGTCGAGACGGATGCACGAAAGATTGTGCAACACTTAAGTTGCTCTCGTTGCACATCCACGCAATGGAGGCTCAAGTGTCGAAAACAGCAGGCGCAACATCGTGTAAATGGTTCAATGGCTGAAAAGGGAACACAGCAGACATTGTACACAGGATGCGTGCTGAGGGGCGTGGGCGAAAAATGACAATACACCACCTCGCGGCACTGAATATGAAAGGCTGAATGTCGGGTTCGGGCCAACCGGAATAGAACAAACTGCGGCAAGCCAGCCTGGGCCATCGTGCTCCTGTCTGCCTCGCTTCGCATCCCGCATTCAACCATACTATCCCAAACGAACCTTCCCCTTCGTGCGTTCCACATCATGATTTGATGTTGTTCCCATACCAGCACATGAAATCTCCGCATTGGAATACGGCATTGCTCCTGCAGCATTCAACAACCATTGGGAGTACACCAAGTTCCATCAACCAGGAGATCATTCCTTGGGCAGTCAGCATTGCTGAAACCAGCAGTCTACCCGAACGCATGTACACCTTAGATTCTGCCGGAAAACTCCACACACGAATGGTAATGTCGAGGTCCGCACGTCAAAACATGGACAACAACACACAAATCATCTCCTGCCGTCCGCACAATACCTTTACTGTCAGCGGATTGCGTGGGTCAAAAATCGGGGAAGCCCGATGAGGGGTATCAACGTATCTTTTTGTACTGTGCCCAGATTCCAGCAGATTAAGGTGCTGTTGCAGGAAATTAACCCTTACGTGACCGGGTTAATTTGATTTCTTCGTTTCTTCCTCCACAACTGACTCTCTGTGGTCAAACATCTTCCAGGCATGCGTGTACACCCACATGACACGGCGGCAAGGATGGTGCAGCAGTGAATCCATGTGTGGGGCTCACAGGGATGGGGACGCGGGTATATGTAAGGGTGACGAACAGGTACAGTTGCACTACTGCTGCAGTAGCAGTTATGCGGAGAGAAATGAATACCATGGTGTACGGCAGCAGTAGTTTCTGAGCAGGTGTTCATGCCTGTCTCCGACAGCAACAATCCGCACAGAGGATGTGCCTGTGCAATCTTTACCTGTTGGCGCATCAATCAACGCCTCATCCTTGGACAGAGCATAGTCTAGAGCAAAAAGCGACACATGCTTGCAGCGCTCGATGTGAAGACGCTACCGGGAAACCGCCTCAAAGGCGCGCTGGATATAAAAAACGGCCCACTCAGACGAGACCATCATCTTAGAAAATAGAGACCACCCCGTCAGCACCGGTATTGCCATCGGGGTTGGGTTTTCGTCGCTTGGCAACGACGTTGTAAAACAAGCCACCCCCCCCGGTGTTTGCCATCGGGATTGGGTTTTCGTCGCTTGGCAACGACGTTGTAAAACAAGCCAATTCACTTCGTGAACTCGGCAACCAGGTTACCGTTTTTTTTTTTTACCTCCGTTTTTTTTTTTGGCGGTAACCATAATGGTGGTCGAGTAGATCATGTTGTGCGGGGTGGAGAACCCTCACTCCGCGCAAGGGGGATGATCGCACCACGTTGTGTTAAAATGGTCAAGCACCCTCGAGGCAGTTACACAGTGCTTACAACTGTCTCTGGAAGTGAAAGCACCAGAAAATAAATTAAGTCATACGCAGCTGTCATCCGTACGCAAGGAAGTAAGCACAAGATGCCGAAAACCCTTAGCAGGATGCAGCGCACCCTTCATGCGACTCGCCGAATATCTCACGGCGCTTCGCGCTTGGTGATGTGAGAGCCTGGTCCGGTGAGAACCCGGCGTGCTCCGTCCCGGCTTTGTAGGGATGCGAGGTCAATGGTCTAACGACTACGGCATGCACGACTATGAGTACACCCCCCGTCAGCACTTACGTACTGCAGCTAATATTCAATGGGCTGCAGGGTCTCCGCCAACTCGTTCTTGCCGTTGTTTGGCCTCCGTGCTGTTGCAAGCATGCGCGTTGACGTATCTGCTCCCCAAGAGAACCAAAGGTGTTCTTCACAAGCCTGGCCCTTTTGCAGCTGCACACATGGTCAACCGGGCAGTCCACGTCCATACAACGGTGCATCGGCTGGAGCATGCGGAACCGCTCAGACCGCCCCCTGTCTTATGCCCAGGCCCTCATCCAGGCAGGCTGCGAGGAAACCATCGAGGCCACCGTGCGCAAACAGAGACTGTGTTTCGCGGGCTTTGTTATGCGCATGGAGGACAGCCGCCTCCCCAAGCGATGCTGTTAGGAGCGATGGCGGGGGGCGTGGGATACCGGGGCGGGCAGGAGAGCGACTGGGTGTCTCGTCTAGGAGAGGACCTCGTGGCCTTCAACATGGGAGACGAAAAGGAAGGGGGTAAATGGAACGAGAGCGCCAAGGACCCGGAGGTGTGGTACAACAAGGTCGAGGACGGGGCGGCATGGTTCATGAGGAAATGGCACAGGCAGGAGGCGGAAGCATCCGCGAAGCGCCAGCGCGCGAGGGAAGCAGAAGCAGAGAGTACGGCCATCTCAGGACCGAAGAGAAAGAGAGTCGGGGAGGCGGCGGTGGGGGGGAAGAAACGGCGACCGGGCACTGCTGTAGAAGCGAGTAGGGCGGCCGAGGCAGCACTTGTGGCGATCGATGTACCCGGCTGATGTTGTTGCGCCCTGTTTCCCTCCCTGCTGTATGCAATACTCCTTTATGTATGTCCTTTGTATTGCCTTCGGCCTCTGTGCTGTTTCTGTTTTTCATGACCTCCCTGCCAACTCTGCTCCGTTGGGTACCTTGATCTCGCGTTTGCTGTTGCCTTAGTTATTGTACGTCTGGCTGTCAGCCCATCTGCCGCCTCGTTGTCCTGTTTGCTCCGTTACTCCTATGCCCTGGTACGTAGTGCCTGGTGCTGGTACGTTACCCTTTGATTGTTTCTGTGGGCGGGTGTGGGAAGCGTCCTCCTTTATTGTTTTTGTTTAATCTTGATCGGTTTACGAGGGCTCTGTTCTCGAACGGTCGGTGCGATGCCTGTTATTTTCTATCATTTTTTTTTTCTTCTTAACATTACACAACAAATCCATCTCTATCTGTAGAAATAAGTCTAACATAGATTAGCAATGGATCCATAGCGTGAGCGAAAGGCTACCTGTATGTCTACGGTTTCCCAGACAGCATACAATGATAACTCCCCTGTGGATAACAGGCTCAACAAGGCAGTTTGGTAGCCATCTTGTGTATCTATCTGTATGTTATGTTGGGAAGTTGTAGACGGAAGATTTAGGGGAACTCGGTTTGTCGGGTGTTCTATAGTAGCACCCTTACGTAGTTGCGGAGCAAGCGCGTCTCGGGGTGTGTAGATTTTCGTCATCACCTTATTTTTTGTGTGTGATGTATGGGGGCATGTGCGGCGCGGGAGAACATATTTACCTTGTTGTGTAGACTAATGGCATGTCGTTCAATGTGAGAAGGGCACGGGAGAACATTATCTCATCATTGCCTCCTGACGTGGCAGCCGATAGCGGCGTGTGGTTGGGGTTTCATCACTCACATGTGGGTGGGTGTTAAATGCAGTGGTGTGTCGGCAGAAGGTATAGCTACATTTCCCATGTATTTGTAGGCAGCGCGGACCATAAGTAAAGACAGAGTGTATCATTTCATGCATCTACATCATTTGTATGTTGTTGTTGTTGTTGTTGTTGTTGTTGTTGTCTTCACATTTAAAACAGTTCCGATCTCCCTTTACCCAGTACCTTCGTATGTCGGCACTGATCCAACACTCGACGCGGTCGATTCCCGTGGTCGCAGGTTGACTCACCCTAAAAAGGTACACTCAGATAAAATTGCCCCGAGGGGTCCGCAAGTCAATAGAAATCAACGACAGATANTAAAACAGTTCCGATCTCCCTTTACCCAGTACCTTCGTATGTCGGCACTGATCCAACACTCGACGCGGTCGATTCCCGTGGTCGCAGGTTGACTCACCCTAAAAAGGTACACTCAGATAAAATTGCCCCGAGGGGTCCGCAAGTCAATAGAAATCAACGACAGATATTCTGGAGTCCTCCACTCCCTCTGCGCGCTATACGAGGTAACAACTGAGACTAGGAGTCACCATCACGGGCCAGAGAGAATGAGGTACACCCCCTTGGTTCAATCTTGGTACATCACAACGCAGGCAGAGACAAGGCCATCTGGCACAGAAAAGATAGAAAAAGACAAAAAGACAAAAAGCGAAGAAAAGTATGTGGAAAGAGAGGAATGAGAGGTTGTTCTAGCTTGCAAGCAGTTTTGACGGTGTACCCGAGTGGTTTGTACCCTATTTTGTTTCCCCGCGGCGTCGTGTGTGCCGGGTTCGAGACCACGGGCTCCCCGTTTTTTGTGGACTATGTATAACTAGCTAATGTGAGAAACAACAACAACAACAATAGCATGGACAGGACGGAGACACCGGCAGACACCTTGAAAACACAGCGATGGCTTGGCTTCAGGTCTACGTGGTGTAATACCAAATTCAACGTAAAAGCTATGCCAATTTCTGGCAGTATTTGCCCGCAACCTCATCGGGAAGGACCGTCATCAGAGTGGTTGGGCGTCTGCCGTTTGAGCATATACCGTATATGACACAATATAACACACCCCCTTGACCGATTTTCGAAGCTCGATTTCTCAACTGGCAGACCAGTCACAGCGCCGAAAACGGCGGCGTTCAACCCGTCTCGTCGAGAAATTTTCGAAATATCGTTTCGTTTATACATCCTCTTCATCGTGGAGAAATTGAGCTTTGAAAATCGGTCCAAATCGGTCCAGGGGGTGTGTTATCTTGTGTCATATACGGTAGCCAAGAACGCATGCGATGGAAGACATCGACATGCTGTGATCACTTTGAAGAGCTCGCTCACCTTGACCCTGTACCACTCATCCCAGTCTCGCCAGGGGATCATCCGAGGGATATATTGGCCGGCATCGGCGTTGATAGGTCGAGACATGCGGTACCGCACGCAGCCAGCAAGCACAAACCAAACACTGCACAGCACCACAGCACCCGCTCCGCACACACTGAGAGTGCGGCGCAACTGCCTCCACAGGCCTGCACCCTGCACCCTGAACCGGTTCTCGAGGCCGCTTGCATTTTTTTTTTTTCCACTCTCCTCCGCTTGAAATCGCTCCACTCTCCACTCGACACCCTCCACCGGCCGGCGGTTCTTCGGAGGCAACAAGTTTGTCTGGACAGTAGCTGCGGTGCTGTGCGAGGGTGAGGGTGGGATCAATCTCTAGGCGGTTTATGGGGGGATTGGGGGTAACCCGCACTGGGAGAGATTTGCCGGAGGTTGCTATCAATTCTGCTACAGTAGAGGTCCCTGTTTAGTGCCGGGGTGTGCGCAAAAATTTCACCGGCACTATACCGGGCACCGGCACTATTCTTGTGAGTGCCTGAAAAGCGCCAAAGGGGCACTATTCAGGGTCTGAAAATCCCTCAATAGTGCCACACCGGCACTATTGACGAACTGCTGTGATTTCAAAGTGCAGCGCTTTGCTTTGCGGGGCCAACAGAGTAACACATGGAACGTACATGGTGACATCATGGCATGTGCGCCGCGGGCAGACTGCTGTGCCACGATAGGGGTGGCTCCTGCCCTGTCGAACACACATATTGTAATAAGTTAACTGGACGGGACACACATGCTGCACCTTGTTGCTGTACCCACCTCAGCGCACATACTGCATTTGCACAACCTGACTCAACCCCCTTACCACGCACAGAAAATTCGGCGTTCTAGCGAAATTTCTGAAATGCAAGAAAAAGAGCAAACGACGCCTGCTGATTGGATGGTGCCGACAGCTCCATCCCTGGGTGCAAATGAAAAGCTGCCTTCCCACCTGAGCCGTCTCTTGTCTATAATCCCTATCAAATGTCCCCTCGATCGAGGGGACATTTGATAGGGATTATAGACAGCAAACTGGTGGGAGCGTGGTAAACGGAGCACGAAAAGGAGGTTTTCAAGATATTATTGCTCTAGAGGGAAAGCGAGACCTTCTAACCCAAGCCCTAGGTTGCCCGGTGNATACTGCATTTGCACAACCTGACTCAACCCCCTTACCACGCACAGAAAATTCGGCGTTCTAGCGAAATTTCTGAAATGCAAGAAAAAGAGCAAACGACGCCTGCTGATTGGATGGTGGCGACAGCTCCATCCCTGGGTGCAAATGAAAAGCTGCCTTCCCACCTGAGCCGTCTCTTGTCTATAATCCCTATCAAATGTCCCCTCGATCGAGGGGACATTTGATAGGGATTATAGACAGCAAACTGGTGGGAGCGTGGTAAACGGAGCACGAAAAGGAGGTTTTCAAGATATTATTGCTCTAGAGGGAAAGCGAGACCTTCTAACCCAAGCCCTAGGTTGCCCGGTGCCTCCTATCAACGGTGGCCTAGGTGCTTTTTCCGCTCTTGCCCCTAGTAGCGCTTTTCACCCAAGGGTAGACAGACGCGGCGCAACTTCGCTGTTGAACCCGCGGCGTCATCGCCCCCCGATCCGACCTGTTTATTACCCTCATACTCCTCCACTCTACAAAGCATCCATACTAAAATAGAGTCGTGCCCGTGTACCCTGGCACCCCCCTGGTCGAGTAGTTCAAAGGAGGAGACAATCGTGCCATTCTTTGCGAGGTAAAGCAGGTGAAGAAGATGATGACAAAAAGTGTCCCCAAAAAGCGATCTCGCCCTAAGGGGGTTAAACCCTTCACATGAATATCGCAAAGGATGCACCTCATAGATGGCAAGAATGCCGTGGCACTGGCCTTAAACGGATCAAACCATTTCGCGCACCCTCAACATCACTCCTCGACAGCGAAAGCAAACCACTGATCATGAAGCCCATGGATTGTTGGCGGTAACACTTTTGCGAAGCTCCTGCTGGCACAACCTATTGGTGAAGGAGGAAGGTAAATCTGTCTCCTCCCCACCCTCCTTCGATCTAGCCAGAAGAAAAAAAAAACACGACCGCGAGAACGGGACATGCAAGAAATCAAACAGCCGCTGCAGCTGTAACCCCCGCCCTGACTACGTCGCGATAAATTCCCGCGGAAGGTGACCTGTGCCGCATACCGCACAGAACGCCACAAGCCCCTAATGGCCACGTCTGCCGGGGACGATGCGGCGGGCGGCTCCATGGCGAAGAATGTGGAAGCATGTTTGACGAGAGCGAGCTGACCCGCATTTGCAGTGCGTGCGTAGCCAACACTGGCAAGCGCACAGGGAGAGCAGCAGAGGGTGCTGGGAAGGGGCAATCTAAACGCCCGAAAGCACAAGGGGGGAGTAAGAACGAAGCTAGTAAGCGGCTGGACGTACACCAGAAGGTCGAGATCCTCAAGCGTGTGAGCTTCACGCTGCTTTGGTTGGGGTACAATGGAAGAAGGGCAGCCTGTAAGGCCCATTGACGTAGTAAGTTACTCCGGAGATACGTGTATCTCACGTTGTTGGGTGAGATATGAGCGTAAGCAAGAAAATATATTGTCGTTGTCTATTGCTACAAATTTTCTGTTTTTTTGCTCATGGCTGGCAAACATTGCTTACTTTTGGGGTGCTTGAAGCACATTTATCGGAACCACGTACGATCTGGCCCGTGTGAGTCACGATGCTGCGCCATCTATCTGCACGGCGCGCCAAACTAGGCAACATCGTTTTTCCATCCTTGATGGCGTCAGGTCAAGACGAATGAGTTCCGGACCGGTGCAAATGCTCAAAGTTTCTTCCATCAATAGAACCCCGTGCTACAAGAATATTTCCGTTATAATACGGAGAATTCAACCGTACACGCTTTACCCACATCAAAATATGATTGAACTACAGCCTTGCCATAGACAGAAACAGTTCGAGAGGTATGACGATTCGTCTACTGGCCCTCGGTACAACAATAAACAGCGATATTGTCAGTATCAAACTTGAAACATGAACGGGGCCGAACGATCCTACACAGAAAAAACGGACACATTCACAACAAAATGTACGCCACGCATGAAGCCTCAAACCCAAGCACATACGTCATCAATCGTGTTTTCCGAACTCGTGTGTGTAGACGTGGTAAGGAAGTGGAACAAAACCACCTCTGGCTGCAACCATACAGGGGACTATTTAATACCCAACGGTCACTTCACACAGAAGTACACTTCGGAAGCAGCATATGAGCAAAGGGAAGGTTTCGGCGAGTTGCTTCCTCTCTCCTGGCCCAACCCAAAACCCGTGCCAATAGTGCTGGCGGCCTTTCAAGTAGAGAAGCAACCCAAAGCATAGAAAATTACAGTGGATAAAAGCAAGTCACCCAACGCCGCGCAACAGCTTTTTCTTGCTCAACGCCATGTAATCGCCACTCCTGTCTGCTCAAGCGCGCAACAACAACAAAAAAGCGGAGTAGAGAAAGATCGCACTCCGCGGCATGTCCTACACATGGAAGGATTCGACCCTGCTACTACATAGATCCAGTTGCCTCGCGGCCTGTATGAAACACCGCAGTAATGGGTCATCTCCCACCTCCTACTCAACTACTTAGAACCGTACCGCCATCGTACACACATGGTATCAAAAGAAATACGTTCGCCAAGGGAACGAAGCAAGCAGGTCAAAATACGCCTATATTGCGTGGTGTTCTGCCTATTATTGCCTTGATTGTCCGCTTGCACCCAACGCAGAACACAAAAAAACGCCGAAAACACTCCAAACGCATTTCCTCTTTTGCTTTTGATCAAGCACGATCAGTGTACTCTACACACAAATATGGGGCCGTGCCAACAAACTCTAGGCGGCGATGTCCGCTGCAAGCACAACCCCACTCCATCATGCAATACCCGACACCTCTCGGAACACGCGGGAAGACGAGGTAAACTTCCAACTCCTAGGGGGTACGCCACGGGTACGCAAAACAACAGAGCTTCCTTTTTACTGTGTCCTCCCGTGTCACGAGGATATGAGTGAACCATCGGCGCCACCATAACAAAGCTTACAACTAAGTCTCTCCGAAGTACCTTGGGGGCCCCGCGCCAAAAACCTCCAACTCGGTGGTTGGGGCGCTACCGCCACAGACACGTCGAGCCATCCGCGCCTACCCTTACCGCATCCCACACGAGCTTCCAACGCTCCTTAAGACGAACAATTACTACTCAAACACGTCTTCGCAAAGCACCCCCGACTCGAGTCGCCTTGGGTTCACGCACACGGCCATCGCACACGAGCGTTGCCCAAGGACACACACATGTGACTGAATTTCGGCCATCGCATACGAGCGTTGCCCAAGGACACACACATGTGACTGAATCTTCCGTGGGCGAAGTTTTGAAATCCTTTTTTTAAGAGACGGGCAAAAAATGCACAGATGACGTCGCGCCAGAGCAAGGCAATCAAGCACCTGGGGAGTCCGAAAAAAACTGCACGCGGCGCGTTCTGCTCGGCTTTGGAGAAAGCCCGTGACATCTTTGTTTGACCCCCTTCTCTTTCGTACGTTGTCTACCCTCCTGCTGCCGCCACAAGCGTGCGACTGCCCCCGGTAAACACGCACGGTCTCAGTTTACTAGGCAATCAACAATCCACTATAATACTGTGGCTCGCTCGACACATCCAGGGTGCGCGCGCGTGCCGCCTGAAGACTTTCCGCTGGCAGCAATCAATCGGCACATGGAGGTTCGTCTAACAAACAACTTACACCTACACCACACGCCGCCACGTGGTTCTTTTTTTCAAGACAGATGTTTACTTTCAACAATCAAGAGGTGTGATCTACTCTGATAATGTTAGCAGGAGTATTCGGCAAGGGAGGCCTCGTCGGTCTCCGCGAAGCAGGCGGGCTCGACCAGCTCAACCTCCGTCGCGTCCTCGAGGCCGACGTTGCCCGTCACGACGTTCTCGGTGGTGTTGGAAAACTCGACGACCCCGGGCTCGTAAAAGACGTTGTTGGTGATCCTGGTGCCGTCGGACTCCTTGAGCTTGATGGCTTGCGGGCCGCCGACGACGGTGTTGGAGTCGAAGATGTTGTCCTGGGAACGACCCGTGGGCTGAACCTCGGCGGGGTCCGAGCCTTGGTACGTGTAAATGGCGTATCTGGAAGAATAATGTATACCGCAACAACAACACCAAACGTAAAAAAAATGCAGCCATTACGGAGGGAAGGAGGGATGGATGGACGACGTCAATCAACCCTAGGAATCGTACCTTAATCTTCGAAAAATATGCAAATGTGCAGCTGCTGGTCAACGAAGTGTTGGCAGAGGGCAGAGAGTGCCTTGGACTCAAAGAGAGAGCGCGCCACCCCGAGCAAGTAGCAAAAACCACGACCACCCTAACAGCCAACCCAACCTGCACGCGACAAATACACGGGGGATGCCGAGATAATACTGTACCACCCCCGTGGCGCAAAGACAAAAAAAACAGCTTTCCTCCCGAACTCGCCGCGACGATCTTCAGCGCACCTCCTTCGCCTGTGCTTTTGTGTCAAATGGTCAGGTCATTGTACGTGGTATGCGTTCTGAAATAACACCCTTATGACTCAACCGACTGACTCACTGCGAGGTGTTGGTCATGGTGTTGTTGTAGACGAAGTTGTCGCGGCAGCCCACGGACATGCGGATGCCGTACTTGTTCCCCTCGAAGATGTTGCCGGAGATCTCGGCGTTGGAGGACTCCAGCATGGCCATGCCAGCGTCGCCGTTGCCGTAGCAGTGGTTGTCTGGGCGAGAGGTGGATTTGTCGAAGGGTAAAAAATAGCGCCACGGACAGGAAGTTTAATTCGACAATATTCTGCCAAAAGCACACACGTCCGCTCACGCACTAGATATACTATGGATTGACGCCTATAGGCCACAGCCATTGACGATATTCTAATCCGCGAAAACACAAACCAACTGGAGGTGTAATAAGGTATTTCGCGAGGTGCACTCGCTCGTGACAGACGCAAGTTCATCGCAACAACAGTTTTGCCTCCACCCGCTCTGTGCTCACCACAACACGAGAACCGGCAAGAGGCGAAGCCGGTATCGCCACAAGAAAAGCGCAAAGCCTTCTCAACATCGAAACACCCAACCACAAGGTCAAGGCCCTACAACAGTACTGCAGGATGCAAAAACACTTGTCGTTCAGGCCATACAGCGGCGGGATGTTCGACGCTTACCCTTGACGACGGCGTAGTCGCTGCTGCGGTGAAGGAAGATCCCGGCTGAGGTGTCGTTGCCGCCGTACACGATGTTACCCTGCAGGCGAACAAGAGTCACAAAGCAAGCCCGCCGATTTCGGGTCGGAAGCGTGCTAGTCTACAGCATGGTCGCACCGAGGGAACAAACATGATGAAAGAAGCGGGCCGTTCATCCTGCACGAACCCGTGCAGGAATAGGCCTGTCCTCGATAGGCGCTCGCCTAAAACGCCTAATTTTGAGATTTTGCGCCTTGAATATTCACGAGTTTGAAATCGCCAAAAAGTCAAAGACAACTCGCCTAAAAGCCGACCGCTGCGCCTACTTTCTGCGACGGGCGCCTATATCTCGCCGAATTTCTTGGCGGGTGCCTACTTTCCGCGGCGGTCGCCCACTGTCCGCCTTTGGTTTTGGCACCCCCCACCCCAAGGATTCCCCCCCCTCGGTGTTTGCCATTGAGGTTGGGTTTTCGTCGCTTGGCAACGACGTTGTAAAACAAGCCAGTTCACTTCGTGAACTCGGCAACCAGGTTACCGTTTTTTTTTTCACCTCTAGGTTTTTTTTTGGCGGTAACCATTATGGTGGTCGAGTAGATCATGTTGTGCGGGGTGGAGAACCCTCACTCCGCGCGAGGGGGATGATCGCACCACGTTGTGTTAAAATGGTCAAGCACCCTCGAGGCAGTTGCACAGTGCTTACAACTGTCTCTGGAAGTGAAAGCACCAGAAAGTAAATTAAGTCATACGCAGCTGTCATCCGTACGCAAGGAAGTAAGCACAAGATGCCGAACACCCTTAGCAGGATGCAGCGCACCCTTCATGCGACTCGCCGAATATCTCACGGCGCTTCGCGCTTGGTGATGCGAGAGCCTGGTCCGGTGAGAACCCGGCGTGCTCCGCCCCGGCTTTGTAGGGATGCGAGGTCAATGGTCTAACGACTACGGCATGCACGACTATGAGTACACCCCCACCCCAAGTATGCACTGAGCCCCACCACAGATCCGTCGCCATGCCCAGCAGCACGGGAAACGAGGAAAGAATAGAAAAGAAAAAGACGCCGTTTCGTCCTAACACAAGGATTGTTTGACGGGCTCCCGTTGTTCTAGTGCTACTGCTGCGCCAACCCTTCAGATACCTGCCGTCTCTGTGGTTCACCTATTTTTTTCCCTATTCGCCTAGTACCTGAAAAGCTTTTTCTGACAGTGATCGCCTAATTTCTTTTTTTGAAACGCCCAGTAAATGAGAAAAATGAGAAAAAAAACGCCTATCGAGGACACGCCTATGTAGGAAGGCGTTGACGCGGTACGGAAGTGTCAAATGGAAAGGGAACAAAAATTAAGCAGGCATGATTCACGCAGCACGGACTGTTGCCTCGAAAGAACAAAAGTGAGCAGGCGTTTGTCACGCGGCACCGGACCTGGATGGACACGTTGTTGCACCGCTTGGAGGCGATGATGCCGTGCCAGTTGTTGTCGTACACGACGTTGTCGTGGATCGTCAAGAAGTCAGAGTCGTCGTGGGGGTCGTACCCTGCCCAATCGCACCGAGCCGAAACACGTCACAAACGGATGTATGGCAAGTAGGGTCAGGGAAAAACCCAATCAATCCACGGTCGACACACCATCATGCACTCATCATACACACGTGGGGTTAACAGCTGTCACTGCTCATGTTGAAGTCAGGGCATCCATACCCAAGGATGGTGAACAACCTCACCCACCAACGTGCCGGACAAATCAACCTCAGCCGAAGCATTTGATTCCCTCAAACGGGTTGGTCGGCAAACGTGCTGTACACTTTCTCCATGTTTATCTGAGACAACCGCAGCCACAGATACGACAAATACGATGCATGACCCGCCAACGAGTTTGCTCGTGCGACATTGCGTTCGGGTAGGACCCAAGTCTTTGTGCTCGAAAACCAACAACAACGACGGCCAGAACCTACTTAAGCAAGCTCAGCAAACATAACCAATCGCTCCTTAGCCGGAAGCCAAGCACACAACCATCAACCAATGCACCAGCGCCCTGCTAACAGAATCACGCGCAAAGAGTTCGATCGATCGATTGCGGATCCCTTCCTTCTTTCTTTCTTTCCTCACCGTAGCCGGAGTTGGAGTGCACGACGTTGCGGCGCCAGTCGCCCTGCTGGTGCCCGTACGTGTATACGGCGAAGTTCATGTGGTGCAGCTCGGAGTCGTAGATGTTCCCGTACACGTTCACCTGGTCAAAGATCTCCGGGTTGGACTTGTCCTTGCAGAACCCTCGCACCTGCACAAACAAAAGAAAAAAAGAACAAAAAATATGATGATGTTTAGTTATCAATCGCGTCAGTGACATGCCACATGGACATGAAAAGTCACCATAGCTCATTACTAAGCCAACTAGGGCGACGTACGGGACAAAAATAAAGGTCGTACCTTCCAAGTGAGTCCGTAGCTCTCACTGTCGTGGAAGCCCATGTAGCCCATCTCAGAGTTAACGATATCCTGTACAAAGCAAACCAGAAGAGGAAGGGGGGAGGTGATGTACTCATAGTCGTGCATGCCGTAGTCGTTAGACCATTGACCTCGCATCCCTACAA